TGTGTGTGTGTGTGTGTGTGTGTGTGTGTGTGTGTGTGTGTGTGTGTGTGTGTGTGTATGATTTTCGTGTGTTTAGTTTTACTGATTTTCATAATGGCTGCACTAATTTATATTTTCATCAGCAATGGAAAAGGGTCACTTTATCCTCACATCCTCACCAATATTTGTTGCTTACTTTTATGATGATAAATATTTTGATTTGGAATGAGATAATCTATCAGTGTTGTTTCAATTTCTTTTTTATGGCTAATAATGTTCAACATTTCTTCATGTGTTCATTGGCCCTATGTTTTTCTTCTTTGGAAACTATGTGATTTACCCATTTATTAATTAGGTAATTAATTCCATTAGTGTTTACTTTTCCATGTTGTTTCTCTTTCTGAATATTAATCGCTTATTAGATGAATAGCTTCCCAAGATTGTCTCTTATTCTATAGGCTATTTCATCAACCTAATTGTTTCCTTTGATGTGCAGAAGTTTTTTCATTTGATGCAATCTCATTTATGAATTCTTGTTTACTCTTAATGTTTATTTGCTAAGTAACTTAATGTTTTAGGATAAAATTGTTAAATGAATATATTATAACATATAATAAAGGGTCAGTAATATTGGAAACATGGAAAAGTATTGAATATAAATACATCTTTAGTTTTTGTTACTATTTCCAAATTTGAATTCTCATTTTTATAAATTCATAGTATGTTATCTAATGTTTTGTTCCCTTTACATTATGAGTTTTCATTAGTAAATGGTATATAAATAATTAGTAAATGGTATAAATATTAGTAAATATATATTTATATTATTATATATGTTAAATAATATAAAATAATTTAAAGACACCAGGACCAACAAGATGTGAGGCAAGTGTATATCTAGGTATTCTGTCTTTTTTACCTTATTAGGAACACAGGAAATGTAACTTTCTCTTTCTCTGTCTTTATGTTGTATTGATGGGTAGGTAGATCAACAGTTTTCCTGACTGGATCATTCACTGTCCACAAGTAGTTTTAGCAGCTTTGGTGGCCATTGTCAGGCCCATCATGTGTCACACTAAAGCTTCCACCTTTCTGTGTATGTTATTAGTTGAAATTTTCTATTTTTTTTAAAAAGGTCATCATCTCTTTAGTCAACAAGAGGTTCATTGGGGTTTGAAATTGGCTAGATAAAAAAGTTGTTTCTTTTCTCACTATTCCTACCATTTTAAACCAGTTTCAAAGACTCCTGATCTAATTATGCAACAACATTTGGTTTAATAAACTAATCGTAAATAAGTAAAGCAAGTCTGGTGTCTGTTAAATGTAATAATACTTCATTGTAAAGTATTCCTTAATGAAATGCTTAATTTTTATTTGAGAAATAGCACAAATAAGATTATGTAATTTAAACCTCTTATTAGCTCTGGATTGGATTGTGAATTTGCTAGTGCATTTGTCATTAAGATATAATTTGCAGCTGAGTTTGGTAGCTTATATCTGTAATCCCAGCTATTTTGGAGGTAAAGATCACGAGAATCATAGTTTGAGCTCAACCCAGGCAAAAAGTTAGCAAGACTCTATCTTACTTAAGGAATTTAGCATGGTAATGTTCTTCCACAATCTCAGCTATATAGGAAGCATAGGTAAGAGGATCAAGGTTCATGGCCAGCCCAAAAGAAAAACACATGACTCTATCTGAAAAATAACTAAACAAAAGTGTCCTTAGACATGGCTCCAAATGGTAAAGCACCTGTATAGCAAGCAGAAAGCCCTGGGTTCAAAACCTAATACAGTTTTAGGGTTTGTTTGGTTGGTTTTTTTAATTTTAAAAGGATAGAATTTGTAAAGTTCAGAAAAATTCAGAATCCAAACATACTCTGGATGTTATCAATGTAAACTAAAAACAGTCTGTTTCCCATAAATTTTCTATAATAATGCATTTTTAGGTTTTTGGTGTATATTTAGAGGTTTTAAGAAGCAAAAACACGGGTTATTTTTAGTGTAGCTTACCAAATATACCTAATCATATGAAACACCACCTCTCTCTCTCTCTCTCTCTCTCTCTCTCTCTCTCTCTCTCGTCTCCTCTCTCCTCTCTTTTTCCCTATTTCCTTCTCTACTCCTTTTCTCCATCATTTGCCAATGCTTTTTAAGGAAAAGCTTGTCTTAGGAAATTTAGAAACTTAATTGCTTTTAACATTAGACATCTGAAAACCTAAGTAACTCTGGAGGCAGAGATTGGTTTGTGGCCAGCCTAGGCAAAAAGTTAACAAGACTGCATCTCAGTCAGCAAGCTAGGGGATGAGGAGAGGATAGGAAGAAGCATCTCTGATTCTAGCTACACACAGTCATGTGCAGGATTGTGGTGTGATATCAGCGTAGGCAAAAATGGAAAGCCCAAGGCTAGCCTCAGACAGAGATCCTCCCAATCCAATCTCCCAATTAGGCTTACCATAAGTAAAAGGAAAGGTCCCATTTACATGTGAAATTTATTACAACATTTAAACATTGTTTATTAGCTTTTTTACTTGAATCATGGCTCTACTTCTGGCTTTTGATGATTAATTGGGGATTAGAATGTCTCAGACTTCTACTTAGGTTGGCTTCAAACTACCATGAAGACCATAAACTGACTATAACCTGGGCTAGTTTATATTTACATGCTCAAATTATTCCCAGTTGGTACATGTCTTTCAGCTAAAAATTTAATACCTAATGAAGAAAGTTCTTGATAAAATCAGTGCATGGTTGGATAAGATGAAATATATATAATTGAAGTGTCTTTCAGAAATTTCAGAAGACACTTCTCAGGAAGACAATACAAAGTTTACAAATTTTGTAAAAGTGTCTGAAAAATCTTATCTAACCAGATACGTAGGAAGGAGATTTTTTTTAAAGACTTGTGTTCATTTTTCTAAAAATACAAATTAAACTACTCTAACCTTAAAATATTATAAGGTTCTCTTATAAATCACTTTTATATAGATTCAGTTTCAAGTGATTCGAATTCTAGTCTAAATAATAGCTGATCTTTATCAGCAAAGATAAACAGACCTGTTTTCTAAGAACTACATTTGTTTCTGATATTATCACTTATGTTCTCTGATAAGAATGGAACACTATGGGAAACAAAGCAATAGAAGATGTTTCATCACTATAAATTCTTAATATTCACACATTTATTATGAAACACCTTATAGAGAAACAGAAATACCACTCTGTTCATTCTTATTTCGTAGATATGAGAACTGAGGGATCTGAGAACTGAAGGCCTGAAAGATGTCTACCCCAAAAATGTCTAACAAAACATTGAATTTGTTACTATGTTTTCATCTTTATCTAAAGTATTGTTGGGAGTAAGTGATAATACCAATTGGAATAGTTAGATAAGCTTGATCCTGTTGTTAGTTTTTTGTATACATTCACTTGTTCCTCACAACAGCTTTATGTAACATGCTTATCTATTGCACTATTGTGTAAATATGTGTGTGGATACATATATATTTAGTCAAATTACAGATATTAGTACCTTCCCCAAAGTTATGTCATGAAAGTTAAAAGATATTCTGGCTCCATATGTTCAGTTTACTGTACATTTTACACAACTGTCATAGTCTTTATGATAACAAATATTGTAAACACTATATAGAAATGTAAAAACTCTATCAGAGAGAAGAGAACATGGAAAGGAGGAGATCAAAATCTGTTTTTTTTTTCACCGTGAAATGTTGCCAGTTGGATTGGGGTATCCTGACACCTTACCTAAATAATAAGCATGTACTCTTATGCAACCATAAAACCAGTATTACATCTAAATGTAATTGGGGGGGCGGTGAGGTGCGGTCATGGGGCCTGAACTCTGGGCCTGGACGCTGTCCCTCAGCTCTTCAGCTCAAGGCTAGCCCTCTACCACTTGAGCAACAGCACCACTTCCGGCTTTTTTCTTTTTGCTTATGTGGTGCTGAGGAATCGAACCCAGGGCCTCATGCATGC